GGCGGCGGCGGCGGCGGAGGCGGCGGCGGCGAGTTGCACGCGAGGCTATAGGAGTAGGTGTAGGTGACAATCGGGGCGCCATACCCTGCGTCAGTGCTGCTGGAGCCGTCGCGAAGCGTCTCTTGCTCCCAGTCGCCCCCTCCGAGGCCGTCGATCAGGCTGCTGGGTAGGCCGGGCAGGGTGTAATAAGCAGAGCCTGCACTGTTTGTGGACCCGCACAGCTCCTTGCTGCACGGCTGGGACTCCACTCTGGACTGCGTGACCGTGATCTGGTGGCCGCTCTTGGCGACGTTCAGCGTGAGCACCCTCAAGCGAGGGGCGTTCGTCTCGTACACCAGCGCCGCCAAGTACCAGGTCCGAGACCAGCTCGTCGTGCCGTCGGAGGCCTCCCCTGACGTGCCGAGCGTCGGTCCCGGGAAGGCTGCGGCGTCGCACTGCGTGCTTATCGGCGGCACCCAGCTTGCTTTGGGGTTGTAAGCGCAATGTATCGTAGCCGTGGTACCGGTGAGCACGCCACCGAGAATGACGACATCGTCGGGCGTCTCCGCGCCAGACACGCCCGTTAGCTCCTCCCCCATTGGAAAGGTGAGGTAGTTTCCCTTGAGTTTGAAGCGACGGCTCGCGCCGGGGTCCTGACTGTCCCCATAGTGGGTTTGAGGTGGTCGCCCGTGCGTTCACCCGCCACCCGATGTGTTCAACGACACTGGCGAAGGTCTGTAGACGAGTAGACCCAGCTCGTGAGACGCGTGCTGGGCAACACCAATGTACGCTCGAGACAATACGACGCACAAAGACGGTTCCATCCGCGCGTGGCGCACGGCGCCGCCTCGGTGTCCTGTGCGGGTGGGGGGGTATGGTCGCGGCGCCAGGGCCCTGTAGACTGTACCATACCTTACCCCGCAAAAAGGTCGAATCCTGCTCGTTACTGCGAGGGAAGAAATCGTGCAGATCCTAGCTACCCAGGCGCCAAAGGAGGACCTCGAGAATAGAAAAAGAAACGCGAGCTCCGCACATCACGCCTCTCCCCTCCCCTTCGCATCGATGTACTCTGGGTCGTTCAGGCCACCGCGGCCGGCCAACTGGGAAGAGATCGAGTCCGAGTTGAAGGACGGCCTCCCGACGCGATCGTTCCCAACCAGCCGCATCCACAGCCGCATCCACAACGCCGGCGGTGGCCGTCGCGTCCTGCGCGACGAGGGCGAGGACGTCGAGCACAAGGCGCTGCCACAGACGCTCAAGCCTGACGAGGCGCGGCACTCCCACTCTAAATCCCCACACGTCCCAACGGCTGCTCTCACTCACCCGCCCTGCCTGTGTACAGGAGGAGAGCGCAGTGCCTCCAAAGCGCCGCTCATCGCACCAGCCGGAGGAGACTCAGAAGGCGATCGTCCGGCTCACGCTTGAAGGCCATTCGCCGTCCGACATCAACGTCCTCCTCGCGCAGGGCGGCTTCCGCAACTCGACCGGGCTTTGGACGAAGAGCGCCGGATCAGACCTCATGGTGATCAAGCGCATTATCGCCAAGAATGGACTCAAGGAGGGTGGGTCCACCTCCGCCGCCGCTCCCGCCGCCGCCGCCGCCGCTCCCGCCGCCGCCGCCGCCGCTCCCGCTCCCGGCGCCGCCACTCCCGCTCCCGAGGCCGAGCCCAGCGCCGATGATCGCGCCGAGGACGACGACGTGGTCGACGAGGACGACGACACTGGCCTGTTGCCCGCACCCATCAAGGCTCTGAAGCGGAAGATCGGGAATGAGGATGAAAAGAAACGGTACGGATCGGGGCGACCTGCTTCATCGCTGCACCACATGCTTTCGAAAGCACCATTCATCCCCTGCCTGGCGGTGACCAACGCCGATGACATCAGCGACAAGATTGCCTCTGCGTTCGTCAAGAAGATGATCTCGGCAAAACAGACGCCCACTCGGCCAGAGGTGATCGGAGAGGGCACGAAGGGAGACATGTACAACGTTCAGGCCTTTGACCGTGCGAGCTCAACCGGGACTTACGCGGTGTCGAACGGCTTCGTGGAGCACGGAAGCGACATCCTCGGCTTCATGCACTTTGCCATCGCCAACCCCGACTACTACACGTTTGTGCACACGGTCCGGCAGGGGATGAAGATGGAGCAGATGCTCCGCGACGCGTGGCAGGCACGCTTTGGCAACCTGTCGGAGGAGATCTTTCTGGCCCAGCCCAACCGTGGATCAGCCGGCGGCATGGGCGTCCCCGACATCGACGCGCGCAAGTTTGTCATGTACTTTTACTCGCACCAGATGAACGACATGGATAAGGCGCGGAAGAAGGCCAAGCACGGCAAGATCAAGTCGTGAGTTGTCCACCACTCGCACCGGTCTTGAGTGTCGAGAGGCGCGCAACCTCGCGGTGCCCGGGCGGGCGCAGCGCGCGCAAGGACTGGGCGGGCGCAGCGCGCGCAAGGGATCACTGAAACTGTGTGTGTGCGGCACGAGGGTTTCTGTGTATCCGGACGGAGGTATCCTCGTGGGCAATATTTGAGGGCTGTTTCCCTTTCATTTTATACGTGTGGGGTGGGGCCACACTCAATGCGTTTGCGTCGAGGTTGAAGGTGTGGTCCGACCGATGGAATGTGCGTCGACGTCGAGGCTTATTCCCCGAAAGTTTCCGACTGTGGCAGAGTTTGCAACCATTCTCAACCCTACCTCCCAGGTGCGAAGAAAATAATCCTCTTATAACGTAACACCGACGCGCTCGACATAGTCTGCCCGCTTACGTTTTACTCCAAAACGCCGCGAGTTTTACTCCAAAACAAGCCCTCAAAGGCGCCGCGTCTTCTCTTCGATACCGCTGATTCTTGAGCGCAGGGGCAGACGGCTGACCATGACGCAGCACTGTAAGAGTGCCATGCCTGCTCTTCTTTGAGATGCCACAGCCAAGTCGCTGTGCGTTCTCGCACATCTGACCGCAAAGCACACGATGGAAGTGCCACAGCAGCGCGGCACGTGTGTGTGGGTGTTGTGTGTGGGCACCTGTCTTTGGCGGACTTGGCCGATCCGCGGGGCCGTCGCGGCCTCTCACGTGCGCGCCAGGGGTGCGGCGGAGTCTAGAGCGGGGGGGTCACGGGTGGAGAGACTGGGTCTGTAGCGGGCGACGGCGACCGCGACACGCGCGAGGACACAAAAGTACTTTAGGCGAGCCGCCCTGTGGACCACACCACGCGTGTGGAGCCGGTTGTCTCATTCTCAAGCGCGTGTCTGTTGTGAATACCTCACATGTACATGTACATGTTACCTCGAGCATGTTACTCAAGCTGTAACACATGACTTGACCTCTTGAGCACCGCCGCGCATCGCTCTTGTGATTGTGACATCGATTGTGGGTGGGGCATAGTCTGAGGGTTAGGTTTTTCTGGAGCCCTCGGGGTGCTTTTACGCTATTGATCGGGTCAGGGGAGAGTGCGACTTTTACCACTTTGGGAGAGAGAGAGAGAGAGAGAGAGAGAGAGAGAGAGAGAGAGAGATGTTTTTGCCACTTTGGTCGTCTCGGAGCGCATAGCTTTTAGCATTTCTCAAGAAATTTCGCACATAGCTCACGGCCCGGCGCGCAGCGCCGAAGAATTTTTTTCTGTGTGCGGATATTTTTGAGATATACAACCCGGGATGCTTTCGTCCCGCAAAGTAAGTAGTTCCCGCACATAGAAAAATGCTGCCGCTCGCCTCGAAAGCGCCCGCCGGCGCGGTGTGTGTCCAAACATGTGGCGCTACAAGTTTGTAAGGACGCCGTGTTTGTTATGACCCCCCAATGAACACACGTCACCAGTGAGGGAGGGCGAGACGATCGAGGGGTCCCGTACCATGCGGAATCGACCCTATCAAGTGCTCAAGTGCTGCTCAAGGACGCGTCCCTCCACACCACACTTTCGCGCCTGGGCAACGGTGATGACGCCGTCGCGTTACCGACCGCTTGTGCTTGCGTATTATAGCAACCCCTCGTCCGACGGCAGCGTCTCGCGTCCGCCACTCCGCCCGTGCGCGCGCCCCTCACGCCGCATCGTTGTCCGCCTACACCGCTCCGGCCGCACCCGCAGCCTCGGCAAGTGCCTTCACACGCGCTGGGTCAGGTGCAGCAGCAGCCAGTGCGCAGCAGCAGCCAGTTGCAGCAGCAGCAGCCAGTGCAGCAGCGAGTGATCACGCTTGCATGTGCTGCGATGAGTCACTTTGGCTAAATCCCATCAGAAGGCCCCGCGTCAACCCGGCGTCACGAAAGCACAATGTGGCGCGGTGCAATCACTGGAGTCAAAATCGGCTCAAAAACAACGCCAATGCTGCCCAGATTGCGCAGATAGCACTTGCTCGTTATAGCGAGGCGACCGAGCGCGAGAGGCTGGTGCGGAGCGTGCAATGCATGAGATCCACTCTCGCGCTACAATGCTAGCGCGGGAGGCGAGTTCGCGGGAAGAGGAGCTGGTGGCGATGAAGGTGGTGGAGCTCAAGGTACAAGGAGGAGCTGGGCAAGCGTGCCGAGGCCCTCTCGGGCAACAAGGCGTGGCTGCGCCGCCGGCTGCACGCCGCTACAGTGAGCGAGTATTTGGAGAGCGCCGCGGGCGCCGACTGAGAGAGAGGAGAGTAGAATGTCCAAAAATTTCGCGCGCCTGCGGCGCGCGACTTTTACCATTTTGCCCCGGTCGGGCCCACTTAGCACTTTTGGCGCGCCGTGCTTTCGTCAAGTCTTATCGTTTTGAAATCGGCCGAACTTTTCGGATATCCTCAGAGTATGGGTGCTCTGGCACGATCCAGCGATCCACGAAAACGTGGGCGGATGAGAGTTACACGTATTGCAATATGGATGTTGGATCGCTCGGCCGCGATACGCTGTATATACCACCGTAAGTCGCCAGCGAGGGATGTGTAGGAACGCGCCGTCGTCGCGCCCGCCGCCCGCTCGTCGCCCAGCACGCCGAGCGTCAGAAACACCACGCGGACGCAGTTTGCGAGCCGCGGGAACTTCTCTCGCGCGTCACGGAAGTCAGCAGCGCTCGAAGATGCGATAGAGCTGCTCCGTACACGCCACCTGGACCACGGTGTGGTCGGTCGACTGCGCCGCCGGCGGCTCGTAGCTCCGCCGGATGCTCGGCAGCAGAACGTGCTGCACTGTCCAGGCGGGCGTCCGCGCCGCCTCCCCCGCCGCCGGCGTGGCGGCCGCCTCCGACTCGGCCTCCTCGACCGCGCCAACTCGATCGAGCCTGCCACGAGAGAGGGTGGCCGCGGGTCAGTCTCTCGGCCGTGCCCTCGGGTCAGCTCAAGCCAACTCTCGGGGAGTGTCTCGCCGGTAGAAGGACGCGAGCAGCCGCGCGAGCGAGTCAAAGCACGGCTCCTCGGCTGACCAGTCGACGTGCGAGGCGAGGCGGAGCGTGAAGAGCGGCAGCGCGTTGAGCGGCGGCGCGTACCCCTCGATGAGCTGCGGGAGCGCGACCAAGGCACCGTCGCGGATGACGATGGAGAGGTACTCCTCCAGCATGGCCGCCTGCTCACAGCTGCAGCCGTGAAGAGACGCCGTTCACAGGAGCACCCCTCGTCCTCCAGCATGGCCGCCTATCGGGCGACGCGGTGGCACTCGGGGGCGCGGCGGGAGCAGGCAAGCACCGGCGCAGAGGCCAAGGCGCCTTCTCGTCCAGCAGCTTGGCGACCGCCGCCCCAATCTTGGCGGGGTCGCCATCGGCCGGCTTCCACCTGTGCGTGTTGCGCGATTGGGGGGGCGGGCGGGCGGGGGGGGGGGGGGGGGCCTTTGCCCCCAATTTTAAGGGGGGGGGGAAATGCCCTTGGGGGGGGGGGGGGGAAATGGCCCCAAATTAAAAAAAAACCCCCCCCCCGGGGGTGGGGGAGGGCTTACCCCCAAAACTTCGCAATGGGGCCCTTTTCCCGGAGAACCCCCAAGGGCAGGGTGGGGACCCACCCCCAATTTCAAAACATGGGCAAAACTTTTTCCCGGGGGAAAATTTTTTCCCCCCCAAATT